CTAAAAATTCTTCCCAAAACCCGTCCAAAATCGGGCTGAGCTGGTCTAACTTTGATCACCTCTAGTGCCTAAAGACCATAAAGTCTATACAAAAAGAACATGATAATACATTAAAAAGAACATCTTCTTTTTCCGGGTTACTTGGGTGATTTTTTTTTTTTTATGTACATACATTAAAGAACATATTATATAATGTAAAGAACATAAACTCAAAGAACATAATAATCAAACTTAAAGAACATATTATGCTCGCGCTCTGTATAAATATCTATAATGCTCTTTGTTTTTGCCCATGTTCTTTTAAATATAGTTAATGTTCTCGGGTGCACCAACCACACATTAGCTAAGATTTATTAAACGTTTGATTTTTCTGACAAAGAATAAGAAATATTGAAAGAATTAGTAAAAAAAAAGTTTGATTTTTCTGACAAAGAATAAGAAATATTGAAAGAATTAGTAAAAAAAAAAAAAAAAAAAGTAAGAAATGGGCGTATTGGGTTTCGAACTCTGACCTACAAAGGCTACAATATATGAGATATGAGCTAAAACCAAATCAACCAAGTAACCTTGTCTTTCACCATATCGTAGCTAAAACTTTTTATATATTCTTTGAATCTAGGCCACCCCTGGATCCATCTATGCTCAAATCAAATCAGTTATAGATTTTTACCTTTGATATTGAGTATTACTTGGATCGGAGTGCATAGTAGTAAACTTTATGACACTATTATATTATGGAGTAACATTTAAATAAAGGAAAGACCATTTATTTCAACAAGCTAAGTGTGTTAAAGTTCAAAATAGTTTGAAATGAGACTGGGCAACCCGAACAAAGAAGAAGAAGTTTGGTTCACAACTAGGCTTAAGAGCTTCTGTACTAAAATAAATTGGCAATATTAGGAGTTACTCCTCTACCTTATAAAGTGGAACCACCTCTCTCCCTTCTCTAATGTGAGACACTCACAAGTGGGTTATAATGGATTTTAACAAAGTGTGAGGATGGACATTTAACCTACTAATAATTAAAATCATGATCCTTATTAATGTCATCATCAAGTCCTTTAATAATTGTGTAATCATGTATTAGGCGATTTCAATGTTGATTTTATGAACCCTATGGTAGATTATTATAAGAGACCATCTTCCCCTCTATAACTCAATTAGCACTTATCCGTTACATACATTTTCTTTTGCTCTTAAATTACTCGTCCCAACTGTCTCATTTAATGGGAATTCCTTGACCTTGATCTTTGGAGTTGTCTTCTTGTCTTGTAGTAAGATTATTTATACGGAGTAAGCATCATATATACTCTGTTATTTAATTCTTCAGTTTCTCAATAGTTGTAACCATTTGACTTTTATATTCATCGGTACCTAATAAAACAATCAATATACTTATTTAATTATAAATTTAAAATAAACCCATCAACAATTAATGTATTTTTACATATTATTTCTAATAATTGGAGCCAAATTATATATATATGGTGGCCAATGCGCGCGATGCGCGCGAAATGGCTAGCCAATGCGGAGAAGTTATCAAGGCTTGTCTTTGTACTAAATATTTTAGCTTGTACATAGTTATGATTAGTAAGCATTTTGCATGTAAAATGTCTTATGCAATCTTTAAATACCTTGAAACTGATAAGAATTAATACAATGAACCTTTAGAAAGAGTAATAATCGACTATTAAGTTCAAAATCATGTATCCTTAACCTTTTCTTATGTATTTTAAAGAGTAAAAAATAGCATTTACATGCTTTTATTTTAGAGTCTAGATGATTCTCTAGAATAAAATTTTGATACATATTACAAGCTGAAAAACAAAGAGAAACAAACAGAGGAATAATGAAATTTTGCATCAATTTGTTCTTGGGTACCCTATGAGTAGTTAGGACTCTAAGGTGTTAAATTTTAGTTTTGAGTTTGAATTTTGCTCAAGTCCAATGCAACATACATTTATACTTAGTATTGCTGTTAAGTCTAATATGATCATTAATACTCTGTGATTAAACCCAATGTAAGAAGAGCTGAGTTATCCAATGTAGGCAAGCTTGGGCTCAGCTTAATTCAACTCAACAATAAAAAGAAATACAGTAAATCATTAAACTGATACTCATTAGATACAGAGCATATAGCATTATTAGGCTGCATCATAGCAGAATCTCACCAGAAAAGTGGTATCTTCTCTTCTAACAAGTAACAATAAATCTTTAAGGTAGGTTAGGATTGATAAGAGAAATACTCACACCTCCTTTCCTTCAAATATAGAATATACATCCAGAGCCTAAGCATAAAGGCATTCTACTCCCTTTAAAAAACATGTACCTTGAAAAATTGCATCTTTTAAAGTTGTGGACTCTCATTTTACGCTCTTAATCCCAAAATTATAATCGAAATTTAGATGTCATTTGTATCTCATAACAACGAATCTAATAGCAATGTTGAAAGTCACCTTTGTAAAATTCTACAATCCCCAAAATCAAAACCAAAGTACAATCTAAAGATCATAAATAAAAATCCTAAAAAATCTTATAGGGAAAAAATTAAAGTACCTTTTAATCGGATTTGTGGTAGCGCTTAAGTGGACAAACCACAAAGTCACTGACAAATATTCATGAAATGATCAAATTGAAAGAATAGAAAGAGACATGAGGGGCTTCCATGGGGTAGTGCTCGGAAGTTGGTATATTTCCCTCGCTTATAGTGTTTCTAGTTCTCCATTCATTTCAATTATCTACTATATTTTTTTCTTTCAAAATCCAATCAAATTTAGGAAAAATAGATGAAAACCCAAACCCTAAAATTTAAAAAGGATAATACCTTAAAATATAAAATCAATCAAAACCTTATAAAACAATTGAAATTAAAATTGAAAAATACCTTTGAAGATTGTCAGTGACCTTGTGGTTGAAACTTGAAACCAATAATTCAACCGATTGAATGTGAAGATGAAAAAGTACGTAATAACATAGAGAAGATATACAATATTAAAAAAATATTGTAATATTAAATAAGGGCAAATTCATAAATACACATTTTTGGGGTTATAATTGTCACAACACTATTCATAAGAGCAAGATTCTACTTTTTATAAAGTAGGGATATATATATGAGAATTTTTTTGGGCTCTCGTGAGAATTTTTCTTATATGAGAATTTTTCTTATGTGAGAACACTCTTTATGTTCTAAATTTTTACTCGTATGTTCTAAATTTTAAATATGATGTTCTAAACTTTTCCTTAGGTGTTCTAAATTAAATCAAATGTTCTAATTTAGTATTCACATGTTCTAAACCATAAATTAGTTAAGTTTGATGTCATAAATTTTAAATAACTTGTTCCAAAATTTTAATTTATATGTTCTAAATTTTAAAACGTGTGTTCTAAGATTTTTAATTATATGTTCCAGATTATAAAGCGTATGTTCTATTTTTTTACACATATGTTCTAAATTCTTTACTCACACTTTCTATATTCTATATCAGTTTGTTCTAAATTTTTATTCACATGTTCATAATCTTAAATCAGATGTTCTAAATTTACTCATATGTTTAAAATTTCATAAAGCAAATTTTATAAATTTTTAATCACTTGTTCTAATTCTTAAATCAGATGTTCTAAACATATTACTCACACAAATGTTCTAAATTATTACTCATATGTTCAGAATTTTAGTTTGAGTCACATGTTCTAAATTTTAACTCGCATGTTCTAAATTTTTACTCACATGTTCTAAATTTTAAATCAGTTCTCATATAAGTATGAATTCTCACATATGAACCTATTCTTACTGGATCCCTCATATATATATATATATATATATATATATATATATATATATATATATATATATATATATATATATATATATATATATATATATATATATATATATATATATATATATATATATATATATATATATGAGAACTAAGGTGAATAATAGAAACTAAGAACCAATCTCAGCCATTGATCACACTCAATCTGATGTCTCATGTTTCACCCGCATTCATTAATGGCATTTTCATAATTTTGCGGTTTTTGTAACTTTTTTCCAGTTTTTTAACTTTTAAGGCAATTTCATTTACTTTATGACTGATTTCATTTACTTTTACTAACTTTTTATTTACTTTTTAGAAATAAAACTGGAAAACACTTTGCAAAATTGAAATATTACGAAAATGTCATTAATGACACAGGAAGCATGTGAGTCATCCAATTAACCTGATTTAAGGGCCTAGATTAGTTCATAGTTCTTATTATAGCCTTGGTTCTCATTATAACTTGGTCTATATATATGTAGGAATTAACCTGATTTAAGGGTCTAGATTAGTTCCTAGTAAAAAATGTAGGAATTACTAGCTAGTGTAGTACTCTAATCAAGTAATTAGTACTCCGTAATACTTAAAATGACATGATCGACCGTTGCTTAAATTGTTTAAGCCACTCAGTCTATTAAATTATTTGAATCATTATCAAGATTATTAGCGTAGGTATTTGACTAATGTGCACATGAATACATGATAGATATGACCAAAGAATGCAGGTGGGCTAGGTTTCCAGCGAACATTGCCTCTTAACAAGGCATTCATTGCAAAGTTAGGGTGGAAAATTATCTCCGAACCTAATAGTCTATGGGTTAAAATCATTAGAGATAAATATCTATGTAATAAATCCTTCTTGAATGCACTCCAAATGTTAAAGATTCTCATATTTGGAGGAAAATCCTTGCCCAACGGGAAATTTTAAGAAAAGGAATTCGATGGAAGGTTGTAAATGGAATGGATATATACTTTTGGATTGATAATTGGGTAACCAACCAAAGCTTACTTGAACTACTTTGTATGGATCCTAATCAAGTTGAGTTAGACACAAAAGTTTCGGACTTCATTCTACCCAACAAACAATGGGATAGACATAAGCTATGATACTTTCTCCCAGACAATATCGTTTCTCAAATATTAGGAATTCCATTACCCAACAACACGATGCTAGATATGCCGGTGTGGGGTCTTACTTCGTCTGGCACATTTACAGTTGAATCCGCCACATGGCTTGCCCATAATCTTGACCTTGATGATAAATGGGAAAATCTTTGGATATGGAAATTAGATATCCCCCCTAAGCTCCAAATCTTCTTGTGGCAAATTCTTCATAATAGTCTAAGCGTTCGAGATACACTTTACAAAAGAAATGTAATTCCTTTTAGTGATTGTGGTCTATGTAATGTTCATAGTGAAACAGTGAACCATCTCTTTCTCTCTTGCATTCATTCTAAAGATGTTTGGAACCATACCTTAGTTAGGAATTGGTTGGATAGTAGAGTTCCCAACATTGATTTAGTTGAAGCACTTTTATGCTTAAAAAAACACAAACTATCTATTAGGAAATTTATCTTCCTTATTTGGAGTATTGGAAAGAGCGAAATTCTATAATTTTCAGCCAAGAATCCTTTGATATTCCTAGAATTTTCCACCGAGCGCAATTTGCGTTCAATGAGTGGCACTACAGAATTCTCACCGATACCTTTTCTTCATCGGGATCTCCTATTCGGAGATCCTCATCTTCTCCTTATCATTCTTCAACAAACACCATCATGGTTTTCTGGGAGGCCCCACCAACAAATTTCTACAAACTCAATTTTGACGGTTCAATACTCAACAAGTCAGCAGCAGCAGGGATTCTCATCAGAGACAGTAGTGGGGCAGTTTTAGGAGCTCGCGCTTTCAACCTCGGCACCACCAAGGTTTTCATAATAGAGGCCATCGCTCTTCATAAAGGCATTCTTCTAGCTCTTGAGCGTGGGATCAAAAATATCATAATTGAAGGTGATAATCTTTTGGTAATCAACTCCGTTAATGGCATCTAGTCAACACCATGGCAAATTGATTATATTATTAAAGACATTTGTTCACTTCTAAGCAATTTTGATAACTGGAGCATTCGTCACATCTTTCGGGAGGCAAATCAAGCAGCGGACTGGATAGCAAATGTTGGTCATTTAGTTAGTACGTAATAGTATGGATATAGTTCCTTGTAATAATTCTTCTTTATTTCCCATCCTTTCTTCCGACGCATTAGGAATTCCCCTCGTGAGGAGGGTTTCCTAATGTTTACTTTTTTCTTACCATTGTAAAAAAAAAAAAAAAAAAAAAAAAATTGTTGCTGGATAGTTCTTTAACCTATATTATACACCAACATAATATAAATTGTTACTTACATAAATTATATGTGAATATAATTATAATATAAAACATTGTTTAGACTTTAGAAGATTCGTCAAATTTATCTTTGATTTCTTAGGAAATTAATTCCAATATTGCAATAGTATTTATAAATATTGTTTAGGTTGATGAAGGATAATTGCATGGTTAATATCCTCAGAGTAATTCTTGATAAGGTTTAATTTTGTGTAGAGTTTTTTCGAACTTAAATTTATACCACACCTAGCTATATTTTGTTTAACTCGATCGATCTACTATATTTCAACATGGTCCAAAGCCCAAAGCCTTGGTTTGACCGAGTTATCGTCCTTAAATGTGGGCTAACACATACAATTCATTGTCTCTGCTGAATTGATTGCAATTTTTCAGTCATCTAACCCGACCTGATCCATGACCAATCCTCTTGGAGGATAATTTATTTCTTGACTGTATGGGAGCTGAGGCATCTTTGAGGTAAAAAGGAGAATGTGGGTAGAAAAAAAGTAGTAGTCGTCCATAACATTATGGCTATTCATTTCCATACAAGTTGCACCACTACTAAAAAAGGGCATTACTCAATTCAACTTTGTTTATTTAGGAGGAGGTGGAACGATGGACTTTCCTATATATTTCCATTCTATTTACTACTGTTTAAATGCATACATACTATACTATAAGGTGGTCCTAAATAAAAAGGGAATATGCTTCTTTAAGACCACTATTTTGTAGAGATTTCCTGAGTTCAAACCATTATCCACAACCAATTTTGTACCCACATTGACTGGATGTTGCTGAACCTTAATGAATCACTTCCTCCGTGTTATTATAGTTGACACGTTTTGACTTTCGTCACTATTTATATAAGCTACTTTAAATTCATTTCATTATTTATTACTTAAGAAATAGATTATTTCAAGTTATACGTTGATAGCAAATGCGCCTAACAGAAATGTGTCAATTGATATGAAACACAGGACTTGAGATATTTATTATTACATGCTCAATTAAATTCTTCTTTGTTACTCATTAATTAACAAGTTTATTAAAATTGTAAACATGGCATTAGAAGGGAAAAGGCTAAGGTTAATTAAATGATTAGATCTCTCAAAAAATTATTAGAAAATTTAAATGATTAGATTATACATAATGAGATATCTATGAAATGTATTCGAGACTTCGATGAGAAGTAATAAATGACTCAATATGTCAATATTTCAAACGACATATTATTACAAATGAAAAAAGATTAATTAAAAGGTTAGATTGATCTCTTGAAAAGATTAATAAAATTATTAAAAAATTAGTGATAAATACAATATGTAAATGAAATTATATTATGAAATGTAATTCATGACTAGCTTTAAAGTGAGAAAGTAATAAGTGGGTCAAAATGTTCGTATCACATCGATCTTAAGACTTGCAAAACAGTAAAAAAATAAAATAAAATTTCATATTCATATTTCCTTTTAAAGGCATTAAGAAAAAGTAAACAAAAACACCATCATTTCTCTTAAGAAAAATCACCGCCCCATGGTGCAAAATCTTACTAAATTCCACTTCTTTTACGTCCCCACCAATTCTTAAGTATTTTAGCAATTTCACTAATTTTCTTTTGGAAATTTTGCAATTATAATTACTTTTTTGTAAGAAATCTTCATATTCAAGATCAATGTGAAATAAATTCTATGGTATCATTCGATCTTTATATTATAACTCATTACGTGTACATAAATAATTATGATTAATTATGTATATTGCCACAACAATTTCTTAGATGTAGTTTTTGGAATTAGTACATACGTGTGGTCATTATTGGACTGAATTTCATTTGCACCAATTGCACCAAAAAATAATAATGTGCATAGTCAAAAAAGGATATATTCATGATCAAGTGCACATCATAGTTTATGATAGAGTGGTCGTGTTTTTGCTAATTAAAGTAAAAACAAGTGATATATAGTAAATATAAATGACTTTAACTTAAATTAAACATTAATAACATTAATCAACACGTGATGACTGAATTCCATATATATCAATCGCACCAAAAAAAATCATCTATGTAGTCAAGAAAGGATATATTCATGATCAAGTGCACATCATCGTTCATGATAGCAGAGAGGCCAGGTCATGCTAATACTAATTAAATTGAAAGAAGTGATATATAATAAATATAAACGACATTAACTTTGTTGGGAGTAATGCAAGTCGAAAGATTCAAGTCGATCGATTGTATTAAGCTATTTGATGATAAGCCTCTTATCCTGCTTTGCCCTGGCAGGGCGGACTTCCTAACAAACTTAAATAAAACATTAATAACATTAATCAACACGTAATGACTTTATCACGCATTACGTACAAATAGCCTAGGCCATAACTTTATGTATAAGAAATGCATGTTTGCCGTGTTATATACTTCATAAGTTCATAACCATTTAACAACAAAAAGATTTATGATAGAGTATGCATTCATAAGGAGATAATGTTTTGACTAATCAAACTTAGTCGACTTTTAGCCAAATAGTATCATTTTTTGTTTCAAGTTGTAACAATTTCAACTGTTAAAGATTTAAAGTAATTGCTTTAACTACTAAATGACATATGAGATACCAAAGTCAAAAGTTCATGCTATTATAAGATGTCTGGTGAGTCGTTCTATTTTATTTTTGGTTTAATGCAATGAAAGAGTGAAGACAGAATTATATTCCCACCCTTCTAAAAATAAATTCACACTGTTTGTTTTTTTTGGGTGCAAATTTGACACTGTTTGTAATTGTAAGGTAAAGCTTTGAATTTTATTTGCACTATTAAATTAAAAGAAAAAGAGCATTGAATTTCCTGAAATTTGAAAAATAAAATAAAATAGTGAAAGAAAGACAATAATTTTATTATTTTAAGACAAAGATTTTAGTGAAGCAGTTGTATGTAGTAGTAATGAAGTACGAGTATAGTAATGAATTCTTTTAGACAATAAGATAAAACAATTCATTTCCTTCTTTTTCTCACCCTTATTATTAAACCTGATTTTTTGCAACTTTTTGAGGAAATAAAGGTTAAGCTCCTTTTAGGCAATGTTCCCTTTTGGATTATCCACTATTAAGCATGATTATTATTTTTAATTATTGGTACTCTAAATAAAACAATATTCCCTTAGACTTTAAGCCACGTTAGCCACCCAAGCCTAGTTAGCTCCAAAAAGAGCACCCTCGCCCATCAAAGAAATGTTATTTTTTTCCATTCCTTTTTTACCACTATCTCCGTCACTTAGGGCCTATTCTGATTGACTGAATTGGACTAAATTTATTGGAGCTGAACTGAATAATTTATGAGAGAAGGAAATTAAGAATTGAACTGAATATTTTATGAGAGAAGAAAATTATGAACTGAACTGAACTTATTGGAGCTAAACTAAATTGAATTGAAAAAAAATCTAAAGAGAATAGACCCTTAATATAGATAACATCTGTTATTTTTATCAAGTATTGAGATAATAAGTTACTAAAAGTCAAACTGATTCTTTAACCAACCTTAGAGTCATCCTCATATATAAGAGATACAAACGTGTGGTATGGATACCTGATCACTTAGGGTGTGTTTAATTCACCTGATTTTCATTGATGTGAAGTTATCTTAATTTATTTGAACTTATCTAAATTTATCCGAACTTATTAAACCTTATTAAATTTATTTTAGTTGTAATTTGTACTTGGATAACCACTTATTAAACCTGAACTGAACTTATCTGAACTTATTACACCTAAAATAAGTTAAAATAAAGTGAACATAACACACCCTAGTTTCCAATCTCCTTCTAACAAACATGTGTTGTTGGAAAAAAAAATCGCCTATGCAATTCAACTTGGATTTAGTAAGAATATTGATGTATGTTAATACAGAGGTAGGAGGAGAACAAGTTTGTCATTTAACTAATTTTTCTTCTAATATTTAGATAGTTGCATTCAAAACTATTGAATTTATTTCAATTAGTTAAAAGTAACTACGGAGTACTTAAAATGAGAACTTTGACGTACTTCTCAACTTTATCGAGAGATTGATAATCTCCCAACAAATGTAGAGCCCGAAGAGCAAAATAAACTGTAAATGTAAGATGGGTTGAAAAGTACCTTGACGTTTTAGACAAGATAACCACAACCCCCCCCCCCCTTTCCAAAATTTTGTGTAGAATTTTATTCCTCTAAACCTACCCTAATTCGAGTAAATTCAATCTATAATTGATCAAATCTTTATTACTTTCCCAATTTTTTTTTGAAAAAAAAATCTTTACTTTCTTCGTTCCAAAATATCTTGGACGTTGAGACGGGCACATAGTTTAAGAAAACTTTGAGAGAGACAATTTAATACATTTGTTTAATGTGAAAAAATTTCTTTTGATTTTTTATGCATTTGAAATTGTTTTCCAAAAAAAAAGGGCTACGGAAGAGTAAAGGAAAATAATTTTTAATTAATTTTCCCATACTATATTTAGTAATGTATCAAAAATTTTAAGTTGGACGAAAATGAAAAAGTATCAATTATTCTAAAACGGGGGAGTATCATCTACGGAGTACTCTGTATTATATGTTGGTTTATATCTAAGCTAAAACATGTCATTTTCAAACAACAATGAAAGCAAATTAGTACAATTACCTCAATGTAAATGCATTAT